CAACAAATTTCGTTAAATAGGCACTTTTTATATATAGAAGGATGTAATTAAATTTATATAGAAATGTTATTATAAACTTATGATTTTTGTAGTGGATGGTCCAAAAAGCTTTAAAGATGTTGAGTGCCCAATCAATTAACAATTTATACGGTTAAATGTGGTACATACGTCTTATGTTTTTCATGCGAGTACTTAGTTATTTATGCAATTATAAAATTTGTTTCTAAATCAATAATTGAGTAATGCCCGTTTTTGTTCATGTGATTTTTATAATTATGCTATTTAATATAATTATAATAAAAATATCATAAATGAGCAAAGCTTTCAATTTACACGAACTTGTTTTAAGTAATAAATCTTGATGCTTGTATTATTTTTTTTTTATTTTACTAATAGTTGATTAAAAAATTTGTATTAATTCGTAAGATTCACTTTTGGATTTATATTTAATTATTTCATTGTCTCTATTATCTTGAAAGGTAATTAACATTTAATTCTAAAGAAGAAAACATTGGCTCAATGTTTGGAATTTTACAATCATACTAAAATAATAAGAAATTGATCAAATTTTTACTGAATTGGTCAAAATTGATCAAATTTTTTACTTTTCTACTCAACTAACGATTAAATTCTATCCACTTGGATTTCAATTGCATATTTTTCGAAGATTTGAAACGGTAGGTGATACAAAATGAAGGTAACAATAAAACTTGTAAAAAGTGATAAGACTAGGAAACTCTGCTATAATTTTCCCGTATTTATAGCACTTGTAGACTTGTAGTGCTTGGAAGAAGATTCCAATTTTTCTCCAAGTGCCCCCCGAAAGAATTGACGATGTTGAGAGTAGCAGGCCGGAGGCTTTCTGTTTTTCCCTGGAGGTCCACCTGGACACCGACTTCCGCCGCCGCCTCTAAATACCCAGTCGGCGGAGCCACCGACCACCAGGAGGATTCTAGATCCACCTTCTTCTTCTATCGTTTTTCCTCTACCACTCATCCCCAATTTCATTTCCCTGCCAGAGGTCTGTACTTGGTCCCGATTCCATTACTGTTTGTTTTTTAGGGTTTTGGAATGAATTTCTCATACCTCATCATTTTCCATGTTGCTATTGGATGCTTCAAGTGTAGCTTCTTGAATTTTGAAGCTTTATTAGTATTTTTTTTTTTTGTTAATTCTTGAATATTATAATATTTAATTCGCTCAGTACATCAGCAGGTGCTACATGGCACACACTTGCTTGTAATCCCTAGGACCACTGTTTTTCGAACTCAGGTGCAGGTTTTGTTTTAGGGCTTGTAATGAAAAAAATGTTGAGGCTTAGCCCTTAGGGTCCGTTATTGGGCGTCTTTAGCTTGGAGTTTGGACGTGCTGTTCATGAAATTATTATGCTAACGTTAGGATGTTCTGAAAGGAATTTAAGTTAATGCATTTACAAGAAAGAATTTATTATAATTCAAAATTGGCCAGATACATTTTGTTGCTTGGGTAAATGCAGCCACAATCTCAATGCTTGAGGTCAATTGCCACTGTGGTCTTCATTTTAGTTTTTTTGGCACAGAGGTTTTTGTGTTTATGATGCAAACCAGAGCCTTTTCCCTATGCTCAAAGCACCAAAACTGAGCACTGGCCTTTTCAGGTGTTCAATAATTCCGTTTAGATCCATTAATTTGTAATATGTTGACCACAGGAGGTTAGGACTGGAGACAATTTGTGGAGGGGGTGGTCCTATCTCTTTCGCAGTTTTCTTTTTCCTTTATATTTATTAATTTATTGTTTAAATGTCATTTAATATCTATGATCACTTGCACACTTGATGATTTAGCATTTTTATTGAATGAAACGTCAAAAGGACCTATTTGCTACAAAATTAAAGTTTTGAAAAATAATTGCCAAGAATATTAGTTTTAGATTTGTGAATTGCTGTTGAACATGAATTTGCACCATTGTGAGTTTAAGCATAATTTTGTGAATATGAGCTGGACATGAGGAATAAGGTATCAACAGCTGTCTCTGCAAAGGAAAAGAGTTTCTATGCTTGCTTAGTGGGTGATGTGAGACACAGTGATTAGCTTCCATCACATTACTGTTGACTGTGGTCCAAGTTTTAGTAGTTCTCTAGTTTTGATCAATTTTTTACTGAATTGGTGGATCTTTCAATCTTATGGTGATTTATTAATCGTTATCCAATGTGTTCAACTCTAAATCTATTTCAGGAGACATTCATAATTGATGGCAGACGTGCAAATAGTTTGAACATTAAGACTTGAAAAATCAGGATTCCTTGAAAGCTTCCAGACATCTGTAACAAATGTATATCTGTAGTTCTAAGAATTTGCCTGTTGGGTTAAAAGCAATCTATTGCAAGACACGTGCTTGATTTGTTAATCAAATTGGTAATGGGTTACAATCCTTGATGCGTGATTGATAACAACTAACTCCTAACTTACTGGTTGAAGGTGGAAAAATAAATGCATTTGCATTGATTTATGTTCCTTAACTGCTTCTTCCTGGTTTGTGGTTGATAAGTTTCGATATGTTGCAGAGTGATCTTTATCCATGAATTATCTGTGTTGCAGGTTTTGCTTCTAACTCAGTTGCCCCACAGAATGAAAGCAGTGGCATTACAGAGATTCCGGCAACTGAGACTGCTATAAAAAATCCAACTTCAAAGATAGTTTATGATGAGTACAACCATGAGCGCTACCCTCCTGGTGACCCCAGTAAGCGGGCTTTCGCCTATTTTGTCTTGACTGGTGGCAGATTTGTATATGCTTCCCTGCTCCGCCTTCTCGTTCTGAAGTTCATTCTCAGCATGTCAGCTAGCAAGGATGTTCTCGCTATGGCTTCCATTGAGGTTGATCTATCCAGCATTGAACCTGGTAGCACCGTGACTGTCAAGTGGCGTGGAAAACCAGTCTTCATCAGGCATCGAACTGAGGAAGACATTAAACTGGCTAACAGTGTTGATTTGGGGTCTCTCCGTGACCCGCAGGAAGACTCTGAGAGGGTCAAGAATCCTGAATGGCTTATAGTCGTTGGGGTCTGCACTCACCTCGGTTGCATCCCTTTACCAAATGCTGGTGACTTTGGAGGGTGGTTTTGTCCCTGCCATGGCTCACATTACGATATCTCTGGCAGAATTCGGAAGGGGCCTGCTCCGTACAATCTGGAAGTACCTACGTATACTTTCATGGACGAAAACAAGCTATTGGTTGGATGAAAAAAAGTGTAGTTATTTTGTTGTATAAAAACTCTGATACTTGTTTCAGATGATGTTTGTTTCTTCTTCTCATTTCCTTTTAAGCATATTTACTATTAGTGCTTATGTAACTGGGAGGTTGCAACTGCTGTTGACTTGGTGTTACTGAAATAGAGAATAAATTGTTTGTTCCATTATTGACACTGAGCATGCATTTGCTCGATATCTTACACCTCGTGACGGTGGACGGTGGTTGGTTTGATATCAATCAAGTATATAAGAAATTGTCTAGATTATTGTTTATACATGTTTTCAAGACATGATTTGAACATGCAATATGGGATCACAAGCACATTAATAGCGGTGTAAGCAAAACGTGTCAACCTGCTGGAAATCATCTATATGAAATAGGTGGCTTGATTGAAACTAAATCAGACGTTTTAAAAGGGTTTGGTTTAGATTTCAGTCATCGAAAAACTTTTAGAATCGAATTTACTGAAGGTTTGAAGCTACAAAAAAATGTCCAAACATTCTGATTGCCAAACAAAGTGATGCTTTAATTTTTGTTACTCTTAATTAATTAGTCTTTTTATCATTTTATGTTTAATAGAAGTTTCATTGTGATCAAGAGTTCTGTTGGAAATGGGCGGGTCGCTCATGTGTGTTAATCAGACCCAAGAAGAGTGAAATGGTTGGTGAGGGTTGGATAAAGACACCTGTACAGGGGGCCAGTTGTTACCAAGGCCTAGTGATCCTGGTAATGTAGGATGGTTCGATGAGAATATTTGAATTGTATAATAACCTCCTACCACCCATAACCAAAACCAAGTATAATTTCTATAATGCATAGAAGGAAGTTACATATGACCTTTCTCATGAGTAAATACATGAAAAATTTGCATGCAAAGTAGTGATAATTTGAAAAGACATTAAATCAAATTTTTGGAGCATTCAAACATCTTGAAAAACTCATTTGGATTGTGGCCAAGAAACTCCTTCCATTTGATAGAGTTTTGAACCAGAGCACAAGAAAAAATCAAGGCAAGTGTAATTTAGTCTTGAGAATTCATCAACGTCAAGTAAGTTTCTACAATCTTTACAAGTAGAAGCATGCTAGGTATGGAATTATATTAATATTAGAGCCTTCCTAGGTCATTTCCTAGCATATTATACTACTGTAAATGGATTGAAGTGATGAAAAGCTTGTATGTCTTTTGCGATAAAACTTAAAACATCATTAATGGTATGTTATGAAATATACTACATATATTCACGAAATTTGTACGACATGTTCCTTATATGATTTAGATTATATTTGCAATCGGAATTTTTTATTTTTTATTTTTTGGAGAAATGTAAAGCCCTACTTAAATTTGCTGAAGCTTTAATTATTTTCTAGTTGCTTTTCATTTTCACGCAGCAGATAAATATTGTTATAAATAGGGCTGGACAAAACTCATGAATCGAACCGGACTGAACCAAACCGAATCGGGAGGTTCTTCATAAGTTAAATACCCGAACGGATATCTGAATTGAGAACCGACGGGTTCGGTTAGGTCTCGGTTCTAGACCCAGAACCGAATAAGAACCGAATTTAAATATATTTTTTAATTTTTTTATATTGAATTAATTAATTTTTCTAAACAAATTAGCAAATTAACTAATTTAGCGATTAATGTTCTAACTCCCAAGCCAAGTCTATGCCTAGCTAACCCAGCCCAACCCAATTTTTAAATTCAATTTTTTGATTTAATTTTTTGGTCATATTATTAATTTCATTATTAGCCTAAGATCTAGGCCTTTTTAAGTTTTATCATTCTTTTTTCAATTTTACACTTTTATTCGGTAACTATTGAGTCACTGACCCCAAATCACTTGATAAATTGAAAACATATATCTACATGCCCAAATCGAAAGAGCCTATTGCCGAGTCTGACTTTCCCTCTCCAATGCCCATCGAAGTTGCGACCTCCAACCACGACTACCGATTGTTGACCATTAGAAATCCGTTAAAAAATTAATTATAATACGGACTGAACAGAACCGAACGGAACCGAACTGAACCCGAACGATTCCATAATTATATTTGGACCCTACTGTTTCATTTATTAAATACCCTAAAATTTTGGTTCGAGTAAGTTCGGTTCTCTTCAAAATCGAGTCGAATCATGTCCAGCCTAGTTAGAAATGTAAGTGTTATGCTCTACGTTCAATCAATTTTGAACATAAATACTTTTAATATATGATTAATACATTTTATATTTTGGCAAGACTTATTATTTAGACTGTGTTTGATAACCATTTTGGCCAAAATGAGAATGAATTTTTCACATGTTATCTGTGTCAGTGGGACCTAGACGCAACAGCTTTTGCATATGGGCCTAGTATGTTCATTTGGTAAGCTTCGAGGGCTGAATTACAATTGCAATTAATTCATTCTGATATTTATGATCATGTGAATGTGAGGGCAAGACATTAATGGCATGTTCTCTTTACCATTTTCAAGCCATTTTCTGTTTTCGATTTTTTAAAACAGTGAAAACACGTTTTTGAAAAAAAGTTAAAAATTTACAAAGAAAACTCAAAACAACAAATTTTTCGTTTTAGGAGTTTTCATTACAATCAAGCCAAAATTTTCAAAACGAGTTTTGGGTGTTTTCAAAATAATTTTTCAAATTGCCAAAAAGAACACATTTTCAATAATCTCAAAATTGACACTCAAAACACAAAATCCAAAATGAATTCAAAACTCAAAATGCAAAACTGCAACACAAAGAGAACAGCTCCTAAGCTTTTTACTTCATAACACTTATATAGAAGATTTCATACGGTATAGTTGAATTTATCTAATTTCTCATAAGGCAAAGGCAATAGAATGTTACAAACGATACTTAAATATGGTAGAGAATCAAATAGGAAGGAAGGTGAAAATCTAAGGGGCCGTTCTCTTCTTGTTTCAGTTTTCTGTTTTGAGTTTTGAATTCGTTTTGTGTTTTGAGTGTCTGTTTCGAAAATGCTGAAAATGCGTTTTTTTTTCATTTTAGAAAACTGTTTCTGAAAACATAAAACTAGAAAACGCGTTTACTTTAAAATTTTGAGAAATTTTTTTATAATATTTTATTCAAAAAATCTGATTATTCAATAAATTTTAATAGTTTAAAGTTAATATAATATTAAATAACATATTAAATAACATATAAATTTTGAAATTGCTATCAAATTGTTTCTTTACTCGTCAACAAAGGCGTCAAGAATAACATGAAGTTTACGCTGCATCTTCAACATCTTAAAATTATTCCAATTGATTAAATTCAAGTATCATGGTTATAATACCAAGTACAAACATAACTATTAGGCCTTAAAAATATTCTATCAAAAATGCCTCTTATGGTGTGCATCAAAATAACTTTAGAAAAACAAAACTCTTGGACAGAAAACAGTAAATTTGATATCTCAATCAAGACGTTATGCCCCCATTCACTGCTTCTCTTTTACTGCAAAGGCAGTTCATTAATGCCTTAGAAGTATGTTCGTCGAAGATGGACTTCTTCATATTTGATCCCATCTGAAAATTCCAAGAAATGGCCCAAGGGGTTAAAATGGCTCAAGTGAACAAGCAGTATGACAATGTGAAAACCCGACTTGTTAAATCTTGGTCTTTTAACCGACAAAACTAGCTCGAACGAGTGGATATATGGATCACGTTGAGTAAGTTACATGTGTAACGAGTGCATAAAGTGGAAGTGTAATGTAGCTGCACAAAACTTGATGCGCACTGCAACCACAACTTTCAACATCAACAAAAAGAAGGCAATTAGTCATCATCCACTATCTTATATCTAAATCGTGAACCAGCAAAGATGGTGGCATGCAAGCCAATGGCTAAATCCGACAATGTTGACTCTACCAAGCAGAGCACAATTGAAAAAGAAGAAAAGAAAGCCTCAACTTGACCAACAATATACCTCTGTTAAAAAAAAAGGTTGGAATTGACGAGTTAATAGTGTAACTAGGATGTATACAGCCCAACACAATTGAGTTCCCAGTGGCTGCCAGGCAGAGGAGGTAACGAAATGAGCAGTTTCTGGTCAGTTACATGATAACATGAAACTACAGTATTTCTAAGTGGTATTTATAAAGAGTGATTTAAGCAATGAGTTAACAATAGAACCAGAAATTGCAAGAACATATTAAACTATCTAAATAGAAAGTAATGAAAATCAGCAACAAGGGCATGTTTATACTAGATCAAGAGTGTAAATTTTAGCTTCAAATTGCTATTTTTGAGCAGGCCAGTTTTATTTAGTGTATCCATCCCAAAAGAATTGGGTCATTTTCAAAACTCTATAAAGTCAAATCAAAGGGGTCATCATACAAAACTTCCATTGTTCTCAAATTTCTATAAGTTGAGCACTGCAGAAAGTTCAAACATTGAAGCCTTCTGTACGTAGGCATTTGCGATGAGCCTCAATCCATTTTGCACAAGCAGCTTCACCATGTTCAACAATGCATTCATCCCTCAGCCTCTTCGTCTCAGGGCAAGCACAACAAATCTTCAGATAACCTCTTTGGATCAGGTCCAGATGCCGAGTCTGCCGACCCCCCTCTTTGGAGCTTCACGAATACTACAGTATAGTCAGAAAACCACATAATATTGAAATTGTACGAAGTATGAGATTAACATATTTATAATGAACCTCCTATAACCACAGCACCATAAGCTTCAAAACAGAACAATACTCAAGAAATATGAGCAAAAAACATGAGCATGTTTGGCTACTATTTATAAGCTTAAGCTCTAACAAATTTGCAAGTCAAGCTTTTGATGATCTGAACCAAGAGAAACTTCTTCTCTTAAATCATTCCCCGACTTTTGACAAAATGATGATCATCTCTACTTGTATACATAGAAAATTTATTTGAGTATGAAGTACTACTGAATTTTTTGTCCTTATGATTTCTCTCCCAAATTCTTAATCCTATATCTCTTCATCTCACTCGCTTCATTTCTGTGTTTCTCT